TGGTTTGTTATTTTTTAATGAGTTAATAAACATTTAAAATTTTTTCAGTTTTAATTTATAATATGGAAAATGTAGAACAAACCAAATCCCTTTGGGAGTTCTCAATATCCTGCAGTATTTATAGAGGTCCCTGAGAAAGGACCTCCCTGGTGGCACAGGAGTTAAAGTCACAGCACTATGAAGCCATCACAGCCACTGCAGCATGAGTTCCATCCCCGGCCAGGGAGCTGACCCACATGGCGCAGCAGACCTCTGCTGACCTGACTGCTGCTCCCCTCAGCAGCGCACTTCGTCAGTCTGCCTGTTTTACTCCCCACTCTGTCCTCTCACTTGCCACACCTCTGGTCTGTACCCCAGCTCTTGTATGCATAAAAATAAAAGTGAAGGAAAAAAATAAAGAGGTCCTTCCCTGAGACCATGAGCTTTGGGAGTCATTAGTCTTTCCAATAAGCTCAGCTTGGAGAGTGTGTTGAAGATTCTGAGTTTAGCAGCAGATGGGGTAGGGGCCACAGATGCTACCACCTGTCCCCCTTTCGCCTCTCCCAGCCTTTGGGAGACTGCTGAGATCAGGGAGCCACGCCGCTGGCACGGACTCACCGCTCCTTCCGGAGCAGCTCCTGGCTGATGAGGACCAGCTGGCCGGAGGCGTCGTGGGTCTTCCGGGACACGGTCTCCAGCTCTGCCTCCAAACGGCGCTTCTCCTTCTGGAGGGCCTCCAACTTCTTCTCTCCTGACTTGCACTTTCCCTCCAGTGCTGCAGGTCAGTGCAGGGAAAGGGGGAGAGGGCTGAGATGGAATCTGTGCCACCGAGAATCCTGGCACAGCCAGCGGGCTTTCCTGGGGGATTCCCCACTCTCCTAGTGGGTCTCTTTGGTCCTCCAGAGCCAGGCAGCAAGACATGGAAGGACCAGCTATAAAGAGCAGACCCAAGCCCACAGTGTCCAGGCCCTCTGGTGTCTGGGAAGCCATCACCCTCCCCACCGAGAGGCTGGTGCTTACACTGCTTCCCGACAAGGACAAGCCACGTCTTCACCTTAGCCTTGCGGAGTCTGAGGCCAATTGGCTTTTGTTAGGACCAACTGGACCAGGTGAACATGACGGGACGTGGAGAGGTGTGGGGATGGGACCCACTGCAGGGGGCGGGGGGTAGCTGTCTCTCTGACACCATCACTGGCATTCTGGCAGAGAAGCAGGGCCATTGTATGGCAAAATCACAGCTTCCAGACACCTGCCTGACACCCCTCTGGCCACTTCCTCCCTAAGTCTTGCTCTTGCGGCCAACAACTCTCCCCGTCCATTCTGCAAGTATCAGAGTGGCACATGGGAAACCCAAAAAGTCTTCAAGGCCAGAGAGGACCCAGGATGGAATCTTGAGAATAGAATCTAGATGGAATCTCTGAGCTGGTGCTGGGGAGAAGCGCTGGCTGGAGTCCAAGCTGTCACAGAGCGTGTGTGGGCTCCCACTCGTTCACTATGCTACCCAAGTGGAGCCAGTGAAGGCCAGTAGGCCCATGCAGAGTGGGGAGGCACCAACCCATTCCACATCTGACCAGCATGTGGCACAGTGAGACCCCCCGGACCTGCCCTGCAGGAGGGAGACTTACCACTTACTTGGGCCCTGAGCATCTCAGTCTGGGAAGTCAAAGCTGTCACCTCTTTGTCCCTTTTGTTCAGCTTGTCCTGCAGGCCTGGGGGGGAGGGGGAGACAAGGGGACATCAATATCCTAGGGCCAATATTGGCATCTAGCAGGAGAGGCGGTGGCTCTCCAACAGGAACCCTGAGATGGGACCTCATCTAAAGGTCCATCAGGGGTCTCCCTGGTGGCACAATAGGTTATGTCTCAGCACTATGAAGCTTTCTGCAGCCACTGCACACAAGTTTGATCCCCAGCCAGGGAGCTGACCCACATGGCACAGGAGACCTCTCCTGTCTCGTCCAGCTGTTCCCCTTAGCAGTGTATTTCAGTATATCTGCCTGTTCTGCTCCCTACTATCTCTGGTGAATCCTCTCACCGCCTGCACCCCAGTTCCTGTATGCATACATAAATAAATCTTTAAAAAAAAAAAAGGTCCATCAGTAGGTGATAGCTAAACAAAAGGTGACATATCTGCACAATGGAATATTACTAAGCCAGAAACAATGGAATACTGACACGTGCTATCACATGGATGAACTGTGAGTATATGATGCTGAGTGAAAGAAGTCAGTTATATGATGATTCTATGTATATGAAATGTCCAGAATGGGTAAGTTCATAGAGGGAGTAAGTAGATTGATGAGTGGTTGTAAGCACTGTGGGGGAGGGCAGAATGTAGAGTGATGGGTAACAGGCATGGGGTGATGAAAATGCTTTGTCACCAGACAGAGGCAGTGGCAGCATGACACTGGGAATATATTAAATAAATACCAATAAACTGTCCACTTTAAGGCGGTTAATCTTATGCCTTGTCCATTTTGTATCCGTTAAAAAAAAGAAAAAGGCTGGTCAAGAGAACTTTTTTGAAAAAGCTGAGCATGAAAGGCTAGTCTTGCCAGTAATTAAAATACAAACAAGACCTGAATAACTAAAACATTATGGAACTGGCATGCGGACAGACAGGTGATAAAAAAGGAATAGGATGTCCAGAAAGGGCCCGTACATAGGGAATTTAAAGCCGGTAAGTTAGTAATTGAGAAGGCGGTGAAGAGATGAGCTTTTCCAGAAATAGTTCTGAGCTCAATGGATACTTTTGGGGAGGAGTTTAAAAGGATTCTTTAAAAAAAATTTTTGTGTGTAGAAGAATGTGGATGTAGGCCACAGACATGGGGCGGGGGGTGGGGGGGTGTGAGAGGATTTACCAGAGACAGAGTGGGGAGCAGAACACTGGATTTACTTAAGTATCCTGCGACGGGTGCACTGGGTGCTGGGGCGCAGGGCAGACAGGCGCGGTCTGCCTCGTCGGGTGGGCACCCCCAAGGCCAGGGCTCGAACGCAGGCCACTGCAGTGGTAGTGCTGAGACTTAACTCCAGACCAGCTGGCAGGACCCTAAGCAGAATTCTTATACCTCATACAAGAATGAGTCCTAGATGGATCAGAAATGTGATCACAGAAAAGGAAACTTTAAGAAAAGTAAAAGAGGGCTTCCCTGGCCCTCCCTGGTGGAGCAGTGGGTTAAAGCACAGCACTAAGAAGCTAAAGCCGCTTCCGCATGAGTTCGATTCCCGCCTGCCCCAGAGGTGACCACATGGCGTGGCAGACCTCTCCTGACCCGCCCGCTGCTCCCCTCAGCAGTGTGCTTCGTTGACCTGCCTGTTCTGCTCCCCACTCTGTCTCTGGTGAATCCCTCCGCATCTCTGGCCTGTACCCCAGTTCTGTATGAATAAATAAATAAATCTTTTTTTAAAAAAAGAAAAAAGAAAAAAAAAAGAGGGCTTCCCTGATGGCTAAGTCTCAGTTCTGTAAGAGCCTCTGCAGCACAAGCTGGAACCCCAGCCAGGGAGCTGACCCACATGGCGCAGCAGACCTCGCCTGACTGCCCGCTGCTCCCCTCAAAAGGGTATTTCAGTCCATCTGCCTGTCCTGCTCCCCACTCTGTCTCTGGTGAATCCTCTCACCCCCCATCCTACCCCCAATCTCTGACCTATACCCCAGCTCTTGTATGCATAAATAAATAATAATAAAAGACATTAAAAAATAGTAGAAGAACCCATGGGATATATTTTAAAAATAAAAAACCCAAAAGCCCAAACAAAAATGATCAATGTTTAAACATCTTCCAAGAAAAGTACACAAACTAACTACAAGCTTCATATATAAACTTCCTAAGAATCATCAGGAAGAAACGGGCCGTGGACAGCAGCACGGAAACGGGCTTCACTCACAGGCACGTGAAGTTACCGGGGCCCGTCCCTCGCCACCCAACAGGCAGTGATCAGAGTCTGAGCAAACGTCTTGGAGACAGCTGGCGGGTGTTAGAGTGGGCTCCGCACAATGGAGGGGAAGGTAATTTGGGGGGGTGTGACGGAAGCTATCCACACCCGTCAGCAGGAAGCAGGCTGCGGGCCTGTGGCGCCCCACAGGGACACTGCGGCAGGGGCTCAGACCAGCGCGGTCAAAACAGTTGGTGACGCGGACGACAGTGCTGGTCTGCAGAGACCGCGCAGTGGGAAAAAAGCATGGAGTAAGCATGGAGTGGAAGAGCTTGGGGGCCAGGCCACCTGAGTTCCCTGAGGGACAGGCGTCCCCGGCACCCCTGGATAGGAGACAGGAGCATCGTGCAGGGATGGGGTGGGGGGGGCAGCTCAGGGAACAAAGGACCTTTCCCTGTGGGCTTTCGAAACTCTGAGCTTTAAAAATAATGTTAAGACCAACAAATAACAAGGCACACACTGAACACAAAGCCTCATCTCCAAGAAGGGGAGCCCATGCCCTCACAAGGTGTGTATGGGGGTGCGGGGGTGTCTCCTGCATGCATTGGATGGTTTTTACCCAAAGGCAGATGCAGCAAAACCAAGTGGGAGCCAGCTGGGAGGCAGCCCAACAGGCCTCTCCCCAAAGCCCCTCAGCCCAGCGGCCACTCACCCTCCACAGTCTCCTTCATCCTGATCTTCTCCCCTGAGATGTCGTCTGACTCAATCATCTGAAAGAAGAGCCCTGTAAGGAGGAAGCTCATCCATCCTGGCCCCAGGCCCAGTCGGACCCGTGCACCTCACCCCCACATGGGCGACCTCAGGGAGCACAATGTCCCTCCATCTGGCCTATCTGTCACTCCCCACTCCCCACAGGCTGCTTGTGTAGCTTCTGTGCGAACACCTCCTTTTATCTGCTGCAACTCTGCTCTACAGAACAGAAGCTTCCTCCTTCCCTGGGACACCTCTAGAGCCCGGTCCGGGAATCTATTTCCATCATCACGCAGAGGCAAGCTTCCTGGCTCAGGGTGGACTGCAGGGTGGGCGGGATGCGCAGAGCCTGGCCAGGGCCAGCTCCTGGAGGGGCTTCAGTAACTGCTACTTCTTTCTCCCCAACACCTCGTTTTAATAATAAACTAAGGAAGACTGATTAGGGAGAAAACATCTGCATGGCAAACATCAGCAGACTCCTCATTGCTTCTTGGCAGAAGTTTGCAGCCTCCTGCCGGGCTGGCTGTCCTCTAAGCCTGCAGCTTGCCAGAGGCTGACATGAGGGTCAGGGCGGAGCGCAGCTGAGAAGGCAGTCACCTCCATTAACCTGACACTCACACTTTGGTTTGACCATCCCAAGCTCCGTTTTAGTCTCTTATTAGTTGTGGTTAATCAAGACCCTTAGATCTTTATTCGCACACGCTGCAGGGAAAGCAGCACACACAGAAGCCTTTTAAAAAAATATTCCCAGGCTCTCCCTGGCAGCAGTGGGTTAAAGCACCCCATCACGAAGCTCTCTTAAGCCACTGCAGCATGAGTTCCATCCCTGGCCAGGGAGCTGATCCACATGGTGTGGCAGACCTCTCCTGGCCCGCCCGCTGCTCCCCTTAGCAGTGTACTTTGTTGATCTGGCTGTTCTGCTCCCCACTCTGTCTCTGGTGGATCCTTTCACCGACCACACCTCTAGCCTATACCCCAATTCTGTAAAAAGCATAAATAAATAAATCTTAAAAAAAAAAAAAATTCCCAGGCCTGTGCCTAGGGGCAGGGGACTCTCCTCCCACAGCCTCCCCCACCAAGGGAGCCCCAAGGGCTGAGGTCCCAGGCCCAGTTAACCTGGGCTTTTCTTTTGTTCCCGTCAGGACCCTGGGAGAGCATCTCTGCAGACGGTCCCTCCCTGGGAGAAGCGGGGGGTGCAGCTGAACCCCTTTCACCAAAGACGCTGTACTTGAAACTCAGGAAAACTAACACAATTTTGACTGTATGGGGGCCCTGGCAGCTCACAAACCCCCGGGGCCTGCATCGAGGCTCAGGCTGCCAGCTGCTCCACCCAAGCGGTGGTTTTGTCACCCCAGGACCCACTGAGCCTGGCCTGCTGCCGGTGGGCGAGCAAGTCCCCCACTGGGAAGGTCCTCCATCTCAGAGTCTTGGTTTGCTCATCTGAGTAATGAGGGCAATGAGGACCTCTTGGGAGTTAGGGTGAAATGGGGCAACAGGGTCTGGCACAGGGGTGTGCCCTGAGGGAGGGGCAACAACCTTGATGTCCTGGGTCTCGACTTCAACAGGTTCTGCTGAAACGTGGGTGAGACGTTTGGTGGACTCCTGATTTTGGAGCAAATCTGATACTTTTCAGCAACTTTTCAAGGGTCACACAACTCTAGCCTGTTAGACCCCACTCAAGAGGACCCCAAAACTCTAGGGAAGTGGCTGCTGGCTGCTGCTAGGTCTCACCAGGACTGGCAGCCAGGAGGCTGCCCTAAGGTCCTCTGCACCTGTGCTAAAGAAGGGACAGGGCTTGCTTGCCCGGTGCCACGTCTGTGCCAGTCCAGCGTGGCAGAGCCTGAGCGCCCAGACCGGGGCCTAGAGCTGCACTCCTCTGCGTGAGTCAGGGACTTGGGGCTGGGAGGAAGCCTACTCTCCATGCTGAGGTTCATATCTGTCCAGGCCTGGTTTGTGAGGGAGCTGGCCAGGTCAGCTCAAACCACCCTGGTCCCTAGGGCCACCCAGGCCCGGGCTCCTCTAGTGAACCAGGAGTCTCCCGTCTCCCATGGGCATGCTCCTGGGAGTAGGCGCTTCTCTAGGCTGGAGAGAAGGCTATAAAGAGCCCTCCCAGCCTGGCTGATGCTGCCTGGGGCCCCTCCACAGCCCGCAGGAGTCGTGGCTGCCTACATTGGTGTGCTGGGATGAGCACAGGGACTTGACGGACTGGAGTCTGTTTTCTGTGACCAGAAGCTTCTCCCGCAGCCTCTCGGCCTCCTGCTTGCTCTGGGCTTCCGACCGCTGCAGCAGCTCGTAGTCCAGCATCTTCTTCTCAGCCAGGGAGATCTGCTCCTTGAGGAACTCGATGGCCTGTGCCTGTCCCCGGTACTCCACATCCAGCTTCTCGAGCTCGCGCACCCGCAGCTCGGCGTCACGGCACTGGTCCTGGGCCTCCTGCAGCTCCAGCCGATGCTGGCCGGCCTGCACCTCCAGCTGGGCCTGCCAGTGCTGCTGCAGGCCGGCCAGCTCCTCCTGGGCCTCCTGCAGCTTCTGCCGAAGGCCCTCCTTCTCCTTCACGTGCATGGCGGTCTCAAGGTCGTGCTTGGCCCGCAGGTTACCCAGCTCCAGCTGGTGCTCCATCTTGATGCCTTCCATCACGGCCTTCAGCTCCCCAATCTCCTTCTGTTGGGCTCCTGGGCCTGAGTTCAGGGTGGCCTTGAGGTCCTCCAGGGACTTCTGGTGGTCTGAGGCCAGAGAGTCCAGCTTGGACTTCCAGTTGTCCATGAGCCCCATGTTCTCGCTGGTTGCCTGCTGGACCTTGGCCTTGAGGTCCACCACCTCCTGCGCGTACTTGTCGTTGGCTGCCCGGAGCTTCTCCACCTCGGCCTGGTACGCCCTCAGCGCCTTCTCATACTTTTCCCGCAGCACGCCGCTCTCCCTCTGGTGCTCCTTGCTGGCTGACAGCAGCCGCTCCCGCAGCCGCAGTGTCTCGGCAGCCTCGGGGTGGTCGGCGGGCGGCGGGCCCGAGTGCAGCAGGCACTGCTGCAGCTCCTCGATTTCGCCGCGCCGCAGGTTGAGCTCCTCCTCCAGCTGCAGCACCCGTGACTTCTCTGCCACCGTGGTCAGCTATGGGGGAGAGGAAATGGGTCGAGTCACCCGGAGGGCGGTGGGGGGGGGGTCTTGTGGCCCAAGGACCCAGCCCCAGGTAGGGGGAGCAGGGGGGCCCACCCTCACCAAGGTGCCTGCCTCCCTTAGAGGGCCTGTTCACCTCAGCACCCCTCAGGCTCCCTGGCTTGTACCCCAGTGCATCAAGGAGTCCACCATCCCCACACTTCTAGGTGGCTTAGGGCAAATTCACCATTTAAAAGAAACCACCTGTTTAAGATTAAGACTTCCTTTGCATGTACCTTTTTACTTAATAAAATGTTATTGATTTACAATGTGATTTTGGCAAGTGGGTGTTGTTGAGAGTGGGAATGTACATTGTCCTGCTCTTGAAAGCCCCCCTTCCAGAACGGGCCGAACTGCCGGAAGGTGCTCTGAAGGGGGGGCCCGGGGGGTCTGGTGCCGGGCCAGCAGGAAAATGAATGCTCACACACCCACCTTCTGACGGGAAACTCCGAGATCCCAAGTTCCATCCTCCAAAGTCGACCATAATCATGGCAGGGGTCAAAGATTTGGAAACAACATCTCCAAGAGTATAAATCTTTTCCAAGCCTAAGAAACTTGTTTCTGGTCTTTACCTCAATAAACCTGTTTCTCCCCGATCAGGCTGAGCCCCAGTTCAGGATGCGTCAGTGTGGAGGGCTCCAGCTTGTCAGCTGACTGGGCGGGCTGCTGCAAGCAGCCTCCTGCACACACGGGTGCACTGCACGTGCACCCGGCAAAGGCCAGGCGTGCAAACCAGGCCTGGGTGTCTTCTGACACCCATGGGTTGTCACTCACTCGTGTGCCAAGGCTGACTGGCAGGAACTGCCCACTGCTCAGCCCACATGCCGTGCTGGCCACGTGGTGTCTCCCAGTGACTACGAGGCTGTCGGCGCCACCACCAGCACTATGGCTGGTGAACTGTTTGGACGTGTGTGCCCGCCAGGGGCTGGCCCTGGGGAGTGCCTGGAGTGTGGAGGGGAAGCTGCGCCTGGAGCCTGGACCTGAGGCCACCCCAATCAGAGCTTTCCTTGGCCTGGGAACAGCTCCTGAAAACAGCCAGACCCTGACAGAGTTCCGTGCCCTGGGGGACCTTGCTCCCCCACAGCTCCACTATCCCCCCAGCTCCAGGTCCTTCAGGCTGGTCCCTTCTGCCACCATATTCAAAACCCCACAGACTCAGAGGAACCTAGAGCTTCAGCCCCTGACCGCCTCACTGGGAGAGGGAGGCATGGATAGCTTGTCGCCATGTCTGTCATAAGGGCCAGGACATTTGTGGTTTCTTAACAATAGTCTTGTCATGACAATGCCCGGGGACTGAAGAGGGGGAGGTCTCACAGGACACCCCAGCCTATGGCACCATGAGCCAGGGAGCAAAGTCCTTGAGATCAAAGACCCCATCTCCCTGACAAGCATCTTAAACTCTACTTTCCTCCGAAAAGGGGTGCGAAAGGCAAAAAAAAAAAAAAAGAAGATAGCAGCCAAAGACAGTAAATAATGAGACAGAGAAGCCGAGGGGCGGGCCCCGGCGCTGTGGCGGGCGAGGCGTTACCCTGTTGTCCGCTAATTCTCGGAGCAGCCGCTCGGCCTGCGCCTTCTCCAGTAGCAGGCTCTGCTCCAGCTCCCCAATGCGTGCGTGCTCCAGCTGCGTCTGGGTCTGGTCCACCCGGGGTGGGGCAGGGCATGGGACAGGGGAGGGGCACAGGGAAGAGGAAGCCGGAGGAAGAGAGAGAAAGAGAGAGGCGGCGTCATCTTCTGAGTAAGACGAGAGAGCAGGTCCGGGAGAGGAGGCGGCCGGGGAAAGAGAGGAGGTTGGGAGGTGCACGGGGAGGGCCTGCCGCTGCCCCTCACCTCTCGCCGTGTCCTGACTTGGTCTGTCTAATGGCAGAAGCGGGGCTGCAGCGACCCTGCCCAAGTCAGCCAGGGGGGCAGTGGCAATGGGCACCCAGGTCCCTTCTGCCACCTCTAGGTGGCCCTTCCCCTTGCAGCTCCTGCTGCCAGCTCCTTGGGGTGGGCCCAGCCTGCTCCCATCAGCCGGGCTGTTTCTGTTAGGCACACTGGGAGGCCTCTGGGTGAATGAGTCGGCGACCCCAGGACTCCTGGCCCCCAGGTCTGGGCTGACGGTGGACGAACCAACCAAATGGAAGGTTCAAAAACATACACATGCCATCACGGTTCTCCAGCCTGTGCCTCCCACCACTGGCCCAGGCCACGCCCCATGGGCACCCACCCCCCAGGTCGCCCAGAGGATGCCTGGTCTCTGGAAAACACAAGGGCACTTTTGTCCCAGCTTCACAACACCGGCCTGACACGCTAACAAAGCCCGACAGTCTCAGGGCGTCCAGCCTGGCATTTGAGTTTCCCGTGACAGTTCTGCAAGGGCAGTGGGGGCTGGGGCGTGGCCGTGGGCACCAGAGCAGCCCTGACTGGTCCCCGCCTCCTGCTTGGCCCATCATCATCCAGGGGAAACAAGCCTAAGGAGAGTGCGTGTGGGAGGCTCTGAAGAGGCAGGTTCGGTGACACTGATTCTTGTGGAAACAAGGGCACAGCCCTTTCCCAGCAAGGTGGCGGGCACAGACTCCCTCTGAGCAAGGCCTGGCAATTCACCAAGACCCGTGGAGTTGCTGGGTCCTCCAGCCGTCATTGGTTGGCCAGTTTCCTACGGGAACAGCTACAGAGGTTCCCTTTGTCGACCCCAGCCCCCGTCCTCTGGCAGCATGCTGCGGAGCTGACAATGCCCAGTCTCTTCCAGAAAATTACAGGCTGACAATGGCGCCTCAATCCTGGCCTCTCCGGGGTATGTCCCCACCCTCTTTTCCCCTGCTGGTGGGTGTGGCAGCTCTGCCTGGGCACCCTGAGGTGGAGCCTGGTTGTAAATACTGTCCTGAGGGTCCTTATGGCAGGGAAGAAAACCTCTTCAGTTTTCAGGACAATGTCCTTGGGGCCCCTCCTGATCACGTTCAGAATTCCTAGCCTCCTGGCCTGTGGACTGAGTTCTCTGCAAGGGCAAGGGAGCCCCGGTGGAGCTGTTTCAGGTGCTTGTTTAACAGGACAAACTCCACAAGGGCCCAGGAGGGGGACACCTTGGCCGGCAGGGAGTGGCAGGTGCGGACTTCATGCTGCTCCGGTAACAAGTGGGCGCCAGGCTCCTGCTTGTCATGCTCAGGTTCCCTGAGCTCATGTTCCTAAAACCACAGGCAGGCACTGTGGGAGGTTGGAGGCTACTTTATCTCACGCACTGTCTCAGTGTCCAGCCACCTAAGGGGTGTCTGGGCTGCTGCCCCACCTTGCAGGAGACAGGGGCCCTCCAGAGAGACAGCTTCAGGCTCAGAATCCCCCGGCAACTTGGGGCAGGCGAGGCCCAGAACTCAGATGTCCAGATACCACAGGAAGTGGGGTTCAAAGCGCCTGCAGCAACTCCCCATTTCCCAGTTCTAGTTCTAATCATGGGAGCTCGTTCCCACCTTACCTGGACCCCTTCACCTGCTACTCCTCCTCACACACATGGAGTCTGCCCCCCACTTTGAAGCACAGAGCACTGCCTTGGGGTCCCCTAGAGTAGCTGGCTGCTGGGATCATCAGCTAAATGGGGAGGCGGCCCCCCGCTGCGCTAGGGCATTCGAAAGTCAGTGGTGCTCTGGCACCCTGCATCTCCCTCTTCAGGCCTCACCACGTACGGCAAGTTTTCAACAAAGAGCTGTTCCTACACAAATGAAATAAAACTGGGGCATTACTTAATTAATAAAATAACCATACAAAACCCCTGGATGATGACATAACAACAAAACACCAGACTGCCAACTCCAGGCAGTTTGCTGTGTCCCCAGTGGGTATGGCAGGGTTGGGCACACTTTTGTGCTGCAATATGGCAACACCCACTCAAGAACCACAAAACAAGCCTCCCTCGTCTGCGTGCCCATAGTCCCCTTCCAGGGAAGGCACGTGCCCATGCCCCAGCCCTGTCCTGGCATTGGGGTCATGACACCGGAAGGCTTACCTTCTGGGAACGGGCGCGAACAATCAACAGCCAGGGGAGGTAATTTCAGATTATGATTCAGGCCAAGAACAGAGCGCCAGGTGGGGGGTGAGCGAGGTGCAGGTCAAACTAGGGAGGTCGTGGAGGAATTGCTGAGAAATACAACTTAAGGAGAGACCCAAAGGAGAAGCAGGGAGCACTGACTGAGGCCGAGAGTGGAGAAGTGTTTCAGGTAGAGGAAATAGTGTGTGCAGAAGCTTAGAGGAAGGACAGAAATTGATCCTGAAGCACAGAGGAGTGCCCGCTCCCTGCAAGAGGGTTGTGAGGCAGGCCCCTCTGACCACGCCACAGGCCTGCCTTTTAGCGGGGGTGGCGGCACAAGGCGTGTGAGCGGGGATGGGCAGGACTCAATGGCATTTGTCACCAGCCTGCCCGTGGCTGGTTTCCCTGTGACAGGAGAGGCTGGGTGGGGTCAGCTGAAACAAGGTGAGCTGATACTGCAGCTGAGTGGTAAGTGATAGGGTCGTCACACCACCCCCTCTCCTTCAGGTAGGTTCACAACTTTCTACTGTTCAATTTTTTAAATGTTTTTTAAAGGCTACCTGGCTGAGGTCTGGACAGTGAACAGTAGAGGAAATACCAGGAAAAGGGAGGGGCCTGCAAGACAGAGGCCACGGGCTGTCTCAGGCAAGACACAGGCCTGGCCCAGAGAGGTGGCTGCGCAACGAAGGCCATTCTGGGGGCCTGACCAAGAGGACTGCTGGTGGAGGGACGAGGGGTAGACACAAGCCAAGATGAATTTGACCGGTGACACTAAGCTGGCGCATGCTGAACGGCTTAGCCGTGACAAACTGGCCAAAGACGACGTGGCAGAAACTTAAACGTCAGGTGAACAAAGGCAAGCGTGAAGGCTGGTGTGGGGGCAACGTGCTTTCAGTGTGGCCACAGTGTTGCTGCATTATGAAATAGGAGTAAAATTACCTTTCTCATTTAATATAAGAAAAGATGAACTTGAGCTGTGGGTCGGCACAGCTGTATGGGTTGTGTGTTGAGTCACTGAGGCAGGAGAGATAGAGGGGTGGTGTCAGGGGACCAGGAGCAAACTGAAAGGTCTGTCCTGGACACATTATATGTAGGCTGCTGCACTGGGTTAGTGACCCCAATCTTCTATCTACCTGGGCCTTAGAATGCGACCTGGTTTGGAATGGGATCTTTGTACATGGGGTTAGTTGAGGTCATACTGGATTAAGGTGGGTCCCGAGTCCAATGTCCTGATAAGAAGGCCAGGTGAGGGGACTCAGGAGCATACGTGGAAGGAGCCCAGCGAGAGGGAGGAAGGCAGTGATGCAGCTGACAGCTGGCACCAGCGTCCTGGCAAGCCTGCAAAGGGACCCAACATGCACCCAACCTGCCACGCCTGCACCCTCCTGAGCTGTGAGAGTCCACTAGAGTCGATGTAAGCCACTGAGCTGTAGTCATTAGTTCCGGCAGCCTCAGGAGGCTGCCCTGGCACCTGTCACTTACTCACCATGGGGTGCTCTCGGGTAGGCAGGCCAGGGTTGAGCTGGGGGTGAACAAGATAATTGTGGGCTTCTGAAGGGCATTTAAGCCACGGACTGAAGAGGTCAGGGAGCGTGCAGAGCAGCGGTCAGCCTGCACTCTGCCCCTCACAGGCTGACACTCGGCAGTCTGGGAAGAAGCGAGAGGGGAGGTTGGGAGACCTTGCAAAGTTGGGGGAGCAAAGGAAGAAGAGCAGAGAAAGAGGAGGAAGAGGAGCTCAAGAAGGTATTCTGGGTTTTATTTTTGAATTTCAAGATGTATGGGGATGAGAGGAGTATGGGTCAATGTGCCTTCTAGCTGGCACATGTAGGGTCATAATAGAATCAGCAACAAAGGAACGCTCTTCCACTTCCACTGAGCTATCTGCCCCTTCGCTGCCCCTCCCAGCCAGGCTACCACTGGTGAGCCTGGGACCGACCAGACTTCCTCCTGAGTTGGGCTAGCAGCTGGCTGGCACAGGACCTGGGCAGGGAGGCTGAGAAGAGAGGGCCTGGAGACCTGGGACACCATGGGGGACAGGTACAACTAGAGGGGTCATGGGAAGAAGGAGACCCTGAACGGGAGAGACCAGACTTGGTTCCTGGTGCTGTTTCCTGGACGTTCCGGGAACTGCCTGCTGCTGGGGTTACATTTCCCTGGATCAAGCCCCGTTGACGGAGTTAGCAGGAAGGGTCTGTTTCTTACAAGCATAGGCGCTTGCTTATCCCAGGAGCCCATCCCCAGGCACACTGCAGGAAGTTAGCCAAATGTAACCTTATGACCTGCCCTCTGGACTAAGCGGGAAACACCCATCAGAACATCCTTGACCCTGGCCCGGGCCCCTACACTGGGCTGTGCCCTGACTGCCATCCTTTAAACTTAGCCACTAAAGTCCACTCCAACAGGGTGCCTGGCAGCAGAGCCTACACAGGCTACCCAGCAGGGGTCATCCAGGGATGTGACCACCATCCATGCACCTTAGTTGAGCTCCGGAAGTCATAGGGTAAGTCTTAACATGGCTCTTTTACAGAATCAAAAACTGTAATTTCCCACTGAACTCAGAAAAGGCCCAGTGCGATGACTTCCAGGTGATCTGGGTCTGCATGCCTGGAACCTGCAAATCCTCAGCCCCCCCCACCCCCCAGACCTAATAAATGAGGCCAGGGCTCAGTGTCCTGTGTTTGGAAAAGCCCTCAAAGTGATGAACTGTCCATCTTGAGAATCATGATCTAATTCAACTCATACTATACATGAGCCAACTAAAGGGAAGCAGCTGCCCAAGACCAGTTAGGCTTGGCCAGAGTGCGCTGAGGGCTGAACTCACCACCTCCTGCTCCATCTGACAGCTCCAGTCTTTATCTCTCATATCCTTAGGGTGACGGGATGGGGGAGGGGGCTGTGGCAAGAAGGGCCTTGGCAGGTACATCCCACTCAACTAATGCCAGACAAAGGGCAGCCCCTGGGACTCCGGGAGCTGGGGCATCCCCATCGGGCACCTGAGCGGACCCAACCCCCTTGCTCTCTCAGGGAGCTTCCCTCCCAATCCCCCCAGCACCCTCCCGGGGGCTCAGAGTCATCCACTAGGGTCCCACAGCCATTTGTCCTTCTAGGGCCAAGCCCACGTGCCCAGCAAGCCGGGGGTGGGGCCTTTGACCATTACCTCCAGGTCTCCCTTGGTGATGGACTCCTCCTCCACTCGGAACTGCAGGTCCTCCACCTTCCTGCGGGGGAGAGGTGCTGTGTGGGCTTCCCCCAGAGCAGTGGCTCCGCCAGGGGCCATGGGAGGCCCCCCAGTGGACAGCCCAGAGTCCAGGCTCAGACCGTCGGAAGAACCTCTTGGGAAACCTGCTGTGGTCCTCCCAGCCTCCCGACCTGTGCTGTGCAGAAACCACCAACTTCAAACAGGGACGTTCTGTCAACAGCCATCTTCCCAGGGTAGTTGTGGGGAAAATGGCAGATGGACCGAGAACAGAAGCACAGTGCTACCAGCTCCAGCTCTGCTCTCCTCACCGCGGGGACAGAGACTGCCACACGGAACAGTCTGGAGGGTGGCGTGGGAGGGGCAAGGGAAGTGGGCTTCTCCCCTGCTGAGTCCGCTCTCATCTGCAGGCCCCCAAATCAGAGGCAAGTCCCAAACCCTGTTCCTCAGGCTGTGTCCTGACATAGGGGGCTCCCCACAATCTGCTGCAGGCAGCGGGGACTGCCCTCAAGGGAACTGAACGTCACCCTTACATGTGCCAAGGTAGTGCAGGGGAGAGACACAGGTGCAGCTTGCAAAGCTGCTCTTCCAGGGTCTCCTCACAGTGCCCAGCATACAGATGGGGAAACTGAGGCCCAGAAGGGCAAGTAACCTACCAGAGGTCATAGAGTGAGTATAGGCAATGCTGAGACTTGCACCCAGCCCTTTCCTGGACACAACTCCCACAACATCTTGAAGATCTGTTTTTGTTTGTCGGCATTAGGCGCGTCACCGTGGCAACCAGATGTGTGGGCCCTGACAGCCGTCTCAAGCAGATATAAATAAGCCTTCCTCTCCCCGAATCAGACGGTTACCACAGGCTGTGGAAACATGCCTGGGCTGAAAGCCCAAAAACAGACCCAAGGTGAGGGGGTGCTGAGGATGGGGGCTGCCTGCTGCAGGGGCGTGGGGAGGGAGGGCTGCAGAAGTCTGTGTATCTGCCACGAGCAGAGACACTCCTGCGTGAAGAGAAACCTCCTCCCTGCCAGCTGTGTCCCACCAGGTGACCCAGAAGTTGGGGTCACAGACAGAGGCACACCCCACCGGCCAGTAGCAGGGCAGAGGGGCCAGCATCACTGCTAACGTCGCTCTTGGCTCTGTACCTCGGGGCTCCCATCTGTGACTCGGGGCGACCCCTGCCTCCTGGCTAAAGGTGAGGTCGAGAGGTTGAGAGAGATGATGTGGGTCGAGCACCTAGATGCAAGGTGTTTCGGGGTCCTGCTGCTTCTCTGAGCCTCAGACGTGTGGATTGGGAAGGGGGTTTCACGATTTTCAGGCCCAGCCAGAGCGGATGCTCCCTGGACTGGCGCGTGGATAGGAAACACTGCACGTCTCCGCCAGGCGCCTTGCTGGAGCGGGGGCCCGGGCATTCTTGCTGCGTGCTGCACAAGCCAGAGGGCAAGGACTGAACCCACACAATCAATGAAGGAATATGGCACCTCCCACAGTTCGGATGTGCTGGGTGGTTCACTGCTGTTACCTTGTAAATCCTCCCAACAGCCTGCAGAGTAGGGACCTCCAACCCACTTTACAGAGAAGACTGAGGTCACAGAGCTCATGCTGCAGCCCTGGAATCACAACCAGTATATGATGGAGGCAGGATCTGGATCTGGACCTGCTCCTCCTCGTCATCCTCAGTGAGATTCAGGGAAAGCCCAGGCCGGGCAGGCGTGCTCACCTCCGCTCCTCCTCCAGCTGGTTGGACAGGTCCACCTTCTCTTTCCGCACGCTCTCCACCAGCAGCCGGGCCCGCTGCAGTTTCTCCTCTGCTTCTGCAACATACTGGGCCCCAAGCAAGGGCCAGGACAGGGTTGGCCTCCTCCTGGGCACTAGTGCAGGTGGCAGGTAGGCAGGGGTGGTGCAAGTGGCAGGGCTGGGTCCCCTGGCCATCCCTACCCTTCCGCCATCCCTAGCTGGGCATGGACTATGAGCCAAGAGGTGAGGAGAAAAGCCCAGTAGAGTGCCAGAAGGCAGAGGCAGGCCTTGCCCAGTGGGAACCCCAGATCTACCTGCCCCCCAAACTCAGCACCCCAATACCTCCCTCAATCTTTAATATGGCATCGGGTTGTTGTCCTGTGAAGACTCCTATCATGGGGCACACATGAGCCTGGCCTTAATTCCAGCAACGGGGGGGGAGGGGGGGGCGTGAGCCAGTGCCCGATGGGGACAGAGGCCAGGGTGGGGCTCTCTCAGGACAAGCACCAGGGAGTGTAGGGCAGACGTGTGTCCGCAGCAGGCCAAAGGCCAGGGGAGAGGGCATACCTGACCCACAGTCTGTTCAAAGTGTGTTTGAAAATGTGAACAACTGTACACAAAACACAGGAGTATTATTTGGGAGAACTGAGGAATTGGGAACAGCTTAAACAACAGGGTCTGGCCACATCAGTAAGGTCACAGCCTGTGATAAACAGCAACGCAGCCTCTGAATGGGGCAGAATTTTCCATGACCTAGAAAATGCCCACACCGCAGGAAGCAGGGGAGCAGCACGCGCGAGTTGCTGTCCAGGTCCTGAAAGTGTGTGCACTGGAAGGAAATGCACCAGGCAGGAGGGCAGCAGAGAGGAGGGCGCAGTGATGCTCACCTCACTATTTCTCTGAGCACCGGGTTCTCCTCTCTGAGCATGAGTGGCTAGCAAGACTGGCTCCAGGAGGCCAGGGGTGCCCTCCAGGTGCCCCACTGCCTCGTCTGCCACCCACCTGCTCGTGTTGTGCCTTCAGCAGAGCGATCTCCTTCTCCACCTCGCAGATATGGCTTGTGGCCTTGGCCACCTCAGCCCGCTCCAGGTCCCGCTCAGCCAGCAACTGCTCGATGTGCTGCTGCTTCTCCTTCAGTGCCTCCTGCAAGGCAGTTGTGCCGGAGATCTTGCGGGCATATCTCGAAGAGGTCTCCGTGAGCTGTGGGAAGGTGTGGGCATGGGCAGGACTCAGGGGCTGGAGCAGCATCCAGCTGTGGGGGCCACATGTCTCCACAGCCAGGGTCCTGCTCCTCCCCTGCCAGTGCCCTGGTCGCTCTGACCCTACTCACATGGGAAGAGTCATGATGTCTAAGATTTGGGGAACTTCTCCCGGCATGGAGTGTTAGCTCCTCATAATCACAGTGCTGGGATTTCTACCTCATGTGAACTCCCTTGCCTGGCTACCTTTTTCCAGACCGGGAAGAAGCTCCAGTCCTGGACTGAGCTGGATGGAAGGCTCTCCACCAGCAGGTAGTGTCACCCTTCCCCTCACCTGGATTGTAGGCAGACTTCTGAACCCACTGCCCTGCACCTGTATGGCCTGCTCTGTACTGCATGACCTGTCCTGTGTTTATGTGAGACACTTTAACCTCCATGGAAGGGCTTAGGCTACTGACAAAACAATAATATAAAAATAACAAAAAATGTAAATGGACCAAATTCCCTATCAAAAGATACACACTTTTATCTTTGTTCAAAACCCCCAAATTGAGGGATACCTGGGACCAGAGCAAGTCAGGGGCAGATTGGGATACCTAGACCCCACAAACCCTACCCTCCATACACATACCAGGGTATCCCTCTGTAGTCCCACACTCACCAGGCCGCTGCGGCTAGGCCTGCCCCCCACGGAAGAGGCCACAGAGCTGACGGAGCTGATGGAGGAACTGCTGGGGCTGTGGGTCAGAGCCGAGACTCCCATGGCCATACGCTTGGTCTTCTTAGCCTTGGCAGGGCTGGTGGATGGGAAGCCGATGCGGATCACCTTGTGGATGGGTGCGAAGAGACCAAACTTGGGTGGACACTGGAAGTACCTAGGGAGGCAGAAGAAACCCACGCTGCTATCACAGCCCCACAGCCTGGTGCCTCGGGCCTCAGGTGTCTCCCCTATCACTTTAGAGTCCAATGGAGGGTTCCTCCCCAGGGCCCCTTCTACCACACACTTAAGAATGCGGACTCCCAGCAAGAGGAGAGTGGAGAGTAGGACCTGACACTCTGCAGCCATGAGCAGTCACTGAGTATGTATTCTGGGGGTGGAGGAATAACAATTACTGAGTATCTGCTCTGTGCCAGACCCTTTACATAATGTTCACTGTGCTCCCTAACCACTCTGTTATTGTACATCTTGCGGATGAGGACACTTAGTCTCAGAGAGGTGGAGTAGCTTGCCTGCAGCCAAGCAGCTGGATAAGTGGCAGGGACAACACCTCCCTGACAGCCTGCTGGGCTCCAAAGTCCACTGCGCGAGACCCCATGCACCATTCATGGCCATGTTACAACCCCACTCTCAAGGCTGGCCCGGAACCAGCTTCAGACTGCAGGAATCCCATCGGCTCTCTGCCCATGGCCTCCCCGCACAGAAACAAAAGCCTAGGAGACATCTGGGGGCAAGGGAGTTGCTGCCCAAACCTGCCCCAAATTCTGAGAGCAACAGTGAATTAGGAGAAAACAGAAAACATTGTGTCATCATGGCAATGATGCTGGATCCTCTTCTCTCAAAACCTCTCTACTCAAGGAGTCCACACGTGGCCAGAGGAGCCAGTCCAGTCGTTTCTTACATACCTGGAAACTTCCACCCCGTTCCCCTCTCCCCATATGGGATCTTTGCTCAGACTGCTGCTTGGCCTGGCTCTCCTTCCTCCAGTCACTTCTAAAAGCAAACCCCACCTTCCTGCAAGGGCAGGCCCGTGTCTGCCTCTTTCCCTACAGCTGGCTTGCACCTCTCCTCAGGGCTGTCAGCTCAACAGAAACCAGCCCAGGGGTCCCACCACAGCCCCCCAGGCCACCTAGCCTTAGCCACACACCTCTGACAGGTACTGTTCACCCATCATCCTCCCTCCCTGAGCCCCACGAGCCCAGACACAGCCTCTCACAGCCCAACTATTATCCCAGCAGCCATTCCCTTTCTTCAGGCACTGTGATTATTTCCTGTGCCACCCAGAAGAAGACCTGAGGGTGGGACCACAGCCCACACCCAGAACCCCAGCTAGTGCTCCTGCCCTTTCTTAGCCATGTGTGGGACTGAAGACTCTTCTAGTACTTGTCCATGACTCTGTGTGACCTTGAGCAATGACCTCTCTGGCCTCTGTTCTCTCATCTATAAAATGGGAATAGTATTTCCACCACCTGCTGTGCTGCTGTGCAGGAGGGAGGAGGCAGCACCTAAACCAGAGCATCTGGCACAACCTCCCACACACCGCACTGGCTGTCGCGATGCCCCAGCCCCCGCATCCAAAAAGCCAAAGGGGAGACCCCGCCCACACTCCCCAGAGAGGCCACCGTACCTGGTACCCGCCACCGCCCCATCATTCTTCCCAAGGGGCTCGTCCAGCTCCACGCCACACCACTCGCCCTTGGCAAAGTCTGTCTCCCCCACGTATCGCACGACGCCAGTCTTCGTACCGCCAACCTGTTGGCACACGGAGAGACTCAGGTCTACAGGATGTAGTGGGCAGAGGCAGAGGTGGCACGGGCACCTGAGGCCCAGACGTATCCCACCCTCCCTCCCAGACTACAGGGAACAGGGGAGCAGGGGAGAGACCTGAAGATAGAGGATGAATACAGGCATAACCAAGGCTGCCCAGTGCTCTACCATGCAAGAAGTTTTGGGAAAGACAGACCTGCTCTAAAATGCTGCCAGTTTACAAGCTGTGTGAGCTCAGGCAAGTCACCCCACCTCTCTGTGCTTTAGAATCTTCATCTGTAAAAAGGTTTTTGCGTATACTAGAGTCTTAATAAATGTTATCTTTAAAAGTAGTTGGAGGGCCCTCCCGGATGGCGCAGCGGGTTAGGGCGCAGCACTGTGGAACTGGCCGCAGCCACTTCAACACCAGTTCGACCCTAGTGTTGAGCTGACCCACATGGGCAGCAGACCTCTCCTGTCTGCCTGCTGCTCCCCTCAGCAGTGTACTTCGTGGATCTGCCTGTTCTGCTCCCCACTCTGTTTCTGGTGAATCCTTTCACTTTCCCTGCACCTCTGGCCTGTACCCCAGCTCTGTATGCACAAATAAATAAATCTTTGGGAAAAAAAAAGTAGTTTGAATGGTGGTTGCCAGTCTCATAGAGGGAGGTGGGGACAGACTTTCAGTTTTGTGAGATGAAAAAGATCTGTAGCTCTGTTGCACAACAGTCTGGATGTACTTAACACTACTGAACCATACGCTTAAAAATAGCTGAGAGATTACATCTTATGCTCTATATAAGGCAGCACAATTATAAAAACGCACAGGACAGGTCAACAAAAGGTATGACTATTCCTGTAAAAGAGTTTAAATACAATGTATTTCAGACTTAAAAAGGTTTTAGAAGCTTTCCACCTCTTTTCCAGAAGCAAATAGTTTTAACTTGTTAAATGTTGAATTTTTTGGTATTTACCTCCACATCTCTCACACTTACATGGCTCCTTCTGGACCTTCCAATTTGGGGGGAAACGGCTGACCGCCCAGCAGAAGGTAAGGTAGGAAGGTGAGGCATCAGGTCGGCCCAGCCACTGTTTCACGCCTGCCTCACCCACAACGGGGCTCCGCACCTCCCCCCCACGTCAGGGTCTACTCTATCACTGCAGCGGAGCACATCCTCCTGGAGTTTTCTCAGAAAAGGTGCTTGAGGAAATGAAATACTTGAGCCTCTACATATCTTAAAAAAGTTTTATTCTATCCTTTTCTTTTTAACATAAAATTCACCATGTTATTCATTTAAAAATGTATAATTCAGTGATTTTTGTACATTCACAATCATCACTTTTATCTAATTCTGGAACATTTTTATCACTTCTAAGAAAATTCTTTACCCAGCAGCAATTGCTGTCTATTCCCTTCACCAGCTCCTGGCAACCACTAATCTACTTTCTGTCTCCACAGATTTGCTTATTCTGGATAATTCCTATAAATGGAATCATACAACATGAATATGTAGCCTTTCATGCTTGGCATCTTTCCCTTAGCATGTTTTCAAAGTTCCCTGGGTGTATTAACATCAGCCCTTCATTCCTCCTTATGGCCAATTATACAGTCCATTGTGTGGCTACACCACATCTTGTCCATCTGTGCCTCTGCTGAGGGCTGTCTGGGTTGTGTCCGCTTTTTGGTTTTTATGAACTTCACTGTGAAAATTCATGTACAAGTTGTGTGAACACCTGCTCTCCATTCTCTGGCTCCCCTCACTCCTGAATGAGCATTTGATGGGCCCCTTCCTTCAGAGTCTTGAAGGATCTGGGGGTTACGGTTAAGAAGGTCAAGGGCTTTCAGAGTCCCGGTTCTCTCTGTGGGCCTGTCTTCCCACTCAAGAGCCTGCAGGACTTTCTCTGTCCCAGGGCTGTGCAGTTCCACAGTGGGGTGCACTGGTGTAGGCCTTTCACCCAAAACCCCAAATTGCCCATCTGGGACATTTTCTCTAAGGAGTTACTTGACAGCCACCACCTTTCCCTCTGTTCTCACTTTCTGCTACCAATAACATTTAAAATTGGAGTGTTTGGTCAGGCTTTGTCTGATTTTTCTTTCCTGTTCTGCATCTGCCTTTTGGCTCTTCTTTCTGAGAAATTTCCTTAGATGCAGCTTCTAGTGCTTCTCAGAGTTTCTCAGACCTGTAATCAAAGTTTCGGTTTCCCAGAGTTCTGTCAGTCACTGACTATTCACTGGGATATTCAGCAGTGTGCTGTTTGCAATTAATGCCTACATTACTTTTTCTTATTTCCCAGAGGAGTGACTGTTTCCACCAGAGAGCTTTCTGGTGCTCCCCACCCCAAAGGGCAACAGCTTGGTGGCCGGTGTCCACCATTAAGGCACAGTCTTGGCGGCCAATGTCCTGGGAGTTGAGTGAGGAAGAACATGGTGGGGACAAGGGTCAAGTTTTGGGGAGAAAATTACTCACTTAATCCTTTTTTAGGAGCCCAACCTGCCTAGGATCCTTTTACCTAAAGACTTGGTCTGACCCTCTCAGGAGACAACGTGCCCATCCCAGACACCTACTGGAGAGCCAGCAGGAGGCAGAGGGTACAAGCCAGGATGGGGGGTCTCAAGGCTCCCTCCCATTTTCAGCCAGTTCTCTCTCAGGCACCAACCTCAGCCTGTTTCCAGATGCCACCGTGTGCCGATTCCCCAGCTCCTTGGTGTCTGAGAGGAGCGCTGACTGCTTCACTGCTCTCTCCGCTGCTGCTGTGGCCTCAGCTGGGATGGACGCCCAGTGTAATTGCTGCCGCCTCCTATTCTCTTTGCCCTCAAAGCTTTAATATCTTTTTTTTTTTTTTAAATCGCTTCACCGGCCCTCCCTGGTGGCGCAGTGGGTTAAAGCACAGCACTAAGAAGCTTAAGCCACTTCTGCATGAGTTTGATTCCTGCCTGCCCTGGAGGTGACCACATGGCGTGGCAGACCTCTCCTGACCCGCCCGCTGCTCCCCTCAGCAGTGTACTTCGTCTATCTGCCTGTTCTGCTCCCCACTCTGTCTCTGGTGGCTCCTCCCACCCTCCGAATCTCTGGCCTGTACCCCAGTTCTGTATGAATAAATAATCTTTAAAAAAAAAAAACCGCTTCACCCTCTAGTTAAAACTCGCTTAACCATCCCCATCATTTCTTCTATGCACACCAGGCACCAGCACACTGAAGACCTAAACTCTAAACCTCACAACGCATGGGGCCGGCAGTGTCAGCCGTTATTGGACAAGGAGACCGAGGTTCAGACAGTCAGAAGCAGGGGGGCCTCACTCTTCTTATGACACCTGTAGTCTCTATCCTGCTGGATCAACTACCGGGCCTGTTCCCCTAGTTCCCCTCATTTGGGGGGTCTGAGACTAGACAGCGCGGAAATGCACACAGCCACAGGGAGGTGCTGCTTCTCCTTCAGTCCTCAGCAGCCTAGTCCTGGACCAGTCTCCCCCAGGAAAAGGGGAGGTTCCAGGTTCCCTGCCCCACCCAAAAGAAGGGTGGACCTGAGCAGAGAAGAGAGGAACCTGGAGTCTGGAGGAGAAGGAAGCAGGAAGGAGGCCAGAGGTGACCTGAGGGAGCCACACAGAGCAGAGACATGTGAAGAAACTGCGCTTGCTTCTTGGTCCTGGACTGGTTAAAACAGATGTGGGTGAGAGACCGTGGGGAAGTGACGATGGCAGCGTTTATCTTGATTTTGATTTTGCCCTTTTCCTCCCACACTTGTCTGGCCATTTAGGACCCTTTTCTACGGATCCCCGCCATAGGTGCTTTAGGCTTGTGTTGGGCTTTCAGGCCTTGCTTTGGGGGGACTTTTACCCACGAGGGGACGGGTAACTTTGGGTATTTGATTAGAAATTATATTCTTTGTCTTTTCTGATTGCATACTGATTGTACTAAAGTTTCTTTCCATTAAAGCTCTTATGTTGTGTCTTCATGCGGCGGATAGCAGAACCTGTTCAGAGCAGGCAGGTTTAGGGGTTCAGTGGTGCCCCTCTCCCTGCCCTGTAACAGTCCTATCCCTCCTTCAGCACAGAGGAGCCAGGGGAAACTCACAGACATGGGAGCAGAGCAGCGACAGACAGGCGTCCAGAGGAGATGGGCCCGACACCTGACACTGCCCCCGAGTCAGCACAACCTCTGGAACACTCATCTCTGCCAGATCCCACCTTGTGTGTGCCAGGCCTCACCATCCATTTTTACATTATTGTATTTTGATTTTTTAACTTAAAAAAATTAGGACTATTTTTGGAGTAGTGTTAGTTTCATAAAAAATTTTAGCAGGAAGCACCATTTCCATCTCCCCCTCTCCTCCCACTCCTGGGCAGGTTAACGTGCACATTTGTAGGACGTGTCCACGAGGATGCATCATTACTAAGTCCAGTCTCCACAAGGGCTTGCTCCCGGTGCTGTACAGTCTACAGGGTTGATGGGAGTCCACCGACAGAGACTCCTACAGGATAGTTTCCGCTGCCACGACTCCCTGCTGAGCTGCCCATTGATGGCCCTGCCTTGGCCCCGCCCCATCCCCACCCCCAGCAACAACTGACCTTTTTACTGTCCCCAAAGTGGTGCCTTTCTCAGAAGTCTCACAGCTGGACTCACAGCGTGGGGGCTTTTCCATCTGACCTCTAGCTTGCCAGGGAGCACTTCTGGCTCCTGCATCCCTTCATGGCTTGACAGCTCATTCTTTCCAGCCTTGAAGAATATTCCAACGTCTGGGTTATCTGGGCCAGTTAACCTCTCCACTGCCTACTGAAGGACATCTTGGTTGCTTCCATGTTTTACCAGTTTTGAATAAAGCAGCTATAAATATTCATGTGCTGGCTCTGTGCAGACGTTTTTAACTTATTTCAGTTAGCTGTGGTAAGAGGATGCTTAGTTTTGTAAGACGTGGCCACACGGTCTCCAAGTGCACCATCTGCACCCTCACTAGCCATGCATGAAGCGCCTGGTGTTCCGCTGGGCAAAAGGCTCCCTCGCATCCACACCCCTGTGTCAGGCTCCAGGCGGCCTCCCCAGGATGAGCACCACACAGGCTCCTCCCACCAGCCCCTCCCTTACCTATGGGCTGGAGCCCCTTCTGCTTGGGCCAAGCACCAATTAGAAGCCCGGGCTCACAAAGCAGTGGCAGTGGGCAGGTGGAATTCATGTTTCTTGGGGACTTTCCTTTGAGGAAGTCAAAATTAATAATTCGCTTAAAATAAACACTCCTGCCTCATGGGGCGAGCAGGGACTCGGCCGCCCAGCTCTGTCAGCAGAGGCTGGGAAGAGGCCCCCGTCTCACAAAGCTGTGGGGAGGGGAGTGGGGGCTGGTGCCCAAGGTGGGGGCTGGAGCAACACCTGGGGGGCACTGTGGGTGAGGGCAGGGGCAACACCTGGGGGGCACTGTGGGTGAGGGCAGGGGAAAGGAAGTGGGGAGTGGTGGGCAAGAAAGACACTGGCCTGAGGGCAGATAATAGAGTGGATGTGTCTCACTTTGGGGAGACCAAGGCAGCAGCCTCCTCCCTGACCCCAGCCACTGATCTGAACAACAACTAGAAGGGGGTGTCAGGGGCTCAGCTAGCCTGTTAAGCACCAAACAGTACACCTGTGCCCCGCCGGCAGGACACCTGACAGGCCACAAGCCCCACGCAGCAGGGCAGTGTGGAGCTTTCCTCTGTTGTGGACACCGGGCACAGCCGTGCGAGCCGTCTGGACAAGACGCCTCCTCACGGAGCTCCTGGCTGGGAGGGAAACAGACCGTGAAGTGGCAACAAGTGAAGGTTGTTGTTCCAGGCGGCTGACAAGGGCTAGCAGGGATAATACCAGAGGCCTCGAGAAGTGGAACAGAGGACCGCGGGAGGCGGGAGCCGAGGCAGCCTGGTGCACCGGAGCAAAGGAGAGCAGAGCGGCAGGGGCTACCTGTGCTCTCCACTGAAGGGACAGATGACGCACGGTGAGGGAATAAGCGAAGAGGCGGCTCACTTAAGTGACCTGCCTGGCACCCCAGAACTGGAAAGTAGCACAAAAGGTACGGGTTGGGTTGAATTTCCCAGCATGGCGTGGTCAGCCGGTGCCGTCATTCAGACTCGGAGCAGCCCCAAGGACAGCAGCCCCCAGGGCAGCTTAGGCACCATGAACCTATCTGCCTGGACGGGGAGACACAGGTACCCCAGGGGTCCAGCCACAGCAAGTCCAGGATACCCCCAATATTCACACGTACTATGTCCTCTCTTGTCCCCTCCCTCCTGTCTCCACAGAGCAGCAAGTGTTGCACTTAAATGTGAATCAGCTCACGCGGCTGTGGAGAACTCGCCACAGCCCCTCTGCTCTTGAGAAACACCAGCCCATGGAGTGGACCCACACCGGCCTGCAGATACCACCCTGCCCGGCTCCCTCTGCTACCTGCTCAGCCTCCTGCACTTTTCTCTGTTTCTCAAGTCTCTTGGGCTGCCAATCTCTGCCCAGCATCCCACCCCCACTGTGTGGTCAGTACCAGTTCACTCCCCGACTTCAGTCTTCACACCTGTCCTGAGGAAGCCTACCGGCGGTCAGCTCCCAAAGTGTCCTTGTGGCATCACAGTCTATCAGGAACTTCACAGAGATCAAGGTCCCGGTCATCTGCCCCCACCCCATTATAAGTTGCTGAGGGCAGAGACCAAATAAGGCCAGGCTCCAGGCTCCCAGTGGGGAGAGTTCTGTCCCTAGGGAATCAGACTGGCCAACTAGCTCCAGAGATCACCAGGATAGAGAGAGGCTCATGGACCAGAAGGCACAGCTGGAGAGCTGGCTCAAACCGTGGCTGTGACCTGTCACCTCAGACACTTACTAAAGTTCTCTGAGCCTCAGTTTTTCCACTCACAAAATGGGCACAGTGAAATCACAGCCCGGAGAAGGCTTCAGGATTCAATGGGGTAAAGGGCATACTCTATCTTCTCACCCCTCTACCCCAAATGCCCTTCCCAGAAGCCTCGAGGAGAAACCTTGCTTCTAGGTAAAACCTGCGGCGTGGAGAGGGAGGATACCTGGAAACGATCCCCTCCCGTGGCGCCTACTCTTGGACCTAAAGTCCCTTGACCCTGGGAGTTCTAGGTATGTGCTCCCCACATAGAGGTGCAGCTGCCCACCCTCTCCCTCAGGAGACCCAAATACAAGGACCTTCCCATCCAGAGACCACCTCCATGGCCTCTCGCACTCCAGCATGACACACGCCTCCAGGGCCCGTCCTTGTGGTACCATCCCTTCCCAGCACTGTGGTCTCGGCCGGCAGGGGCAGCTCAGGATCACCCCGATTTAGCACAGCAGGAAATGGCCTCAAGTTGTCCGGCCCACTTCAGGTGCCAGGAAGACACTGCTGCTCGCAGACTGCAAAAGGACGAATCCAGACCCTGAAGGCCTGGGGTTACTGCTCCCTTCCCACTTGGTCTCAACAGCTGGGACCACCAGAGAAGAGGGGCCGGCGGGAAGACTGCGGCACCTGTGAGCCACGTCCCTCCTCTCCAGCAACAGTGATCAAGCTGCTGAGGAGGAATCTGCACCACCAGGCACCGGGCCGGGGTCTTGAGAGCACATCTATGTTGGTGAGCTCATCCATGCTGGACCAATGGACGAAGCTGAAACAGCTAACAACGCGTGCACCAAGCGCCAGGCCCCACCTAAGGCATCACACATAATAACACACTGCAACCTATGAGGGCCGTCCTACTAAAATTCTCATTTTATAGACTGTAAGACTGAGGCCTAGAAAGGTTAAGAGACTTGCCCAGGGTCACACAGCAATAGCCTCTAGAGCCCACCTCACCAACCTCCCTATTCATTCTGCGGTTTTGATGAAGAGTGGGTACCTCCACGTGGACCCAACCTAAGCCCTGGAGGTCCCCCTGCCCAGCCCCCGGGGTCCTGCTTGCCCACACTGTGGGGAGCAGTGGAGGGAAGAACTCACCAGCACGCGGTCTCCCAGGCGCAGGTCCTTGTCACCCCGCTTCACAGAGCCGCTGTCCGAGAGGTTGGAGCCTGACTCGTTGCCTGTCTTGACGGAGCTGTTAAGGACGCTCTCCCGCAGCGGGATGACACGGCTGGTCAGCGGGGGTGTGGCTGTACCCGAATGCAGGGACAGGTTCTGGGCGGTGAGCGACTCCACCGAGTGGGCATCGCTGCCTGAGCCCTCGGCCGTGGGCTGCCGGGTCAGCTTGGAGGGTCGGGTGAAGATGCCCTGCAGGGCTGGGCACTCGAAGTAGCGCACGCCGCCCACGGCGCCATCGTTCTTGCCCACCGGGTCATCCAGCACCACGCCAGCCCACTGGCCAGGTGCGAACTGTGTCTCACCCAGGTACTGCACCACGCCCGGCTTCATACCGTTCACCCATACCCGCTCGCCAACCACGAAGTCCCCCAGGAAGTCATCGCCCACCTCGGCTGTCTTCTGCCCAGGCTTCTCAGGGGCGGCAGCTGTGGCCGCAGAAGAGGGGCCGGAGGCCTGCTTGTGCAGGGGGGAGCCTGAGGAGCAAGGAAGGGGCACAGGGTTAAGCTGGAAGACGCCAGGGCCAGCTCACTGTGGGGAAACTGAGGTAGGCATGGCTAGCAAGGTGGCTTGGGCAGATCTCATGCTCCTTGGGTCCTCGGCATCCCTAGGTCTCTCCCTACTCTTCCAGCCCCTATAGAAAATTCCAAGGATTAAAGCTCTGAAGAGTTCCTCCCAGAAGCAACACCATTCACTGTTGTAAGGTCACTCACAATTGAGGGCCAGGGGCCCTCCCTGGTGGTGCAATGGGTTAAAGCACAGCACTATGAACCTACTGCAGGCATTGCAGCACAAGTTCTATCCC